AGGGTGGGTATGGGGGGTGAAGGGGTTGGTTTGTGGGATCGATTGGCGGGAGGGTGTTGGTGAAGGGGGGTGGGTGAAGTAGTCCTGTTGTTGTTGGGCTGGGGAGGCTAATGGGGAGATGTTGAAGTGGTTTGGTGGAGTGTGGGTTGGTGATATATTATCGGGTGTATGAGAGCGTTGTTGTGTGTACTGTTGTTGGTGTCCATCTCCTGTAGCTGTTGGACTAAGAGAGGAACGGTGATGTAAGGCTATTGTTGAGTGACTAAGTAGCGCAGTCAGAGACCGGCACTTTAAAGTGCTGATGGATGATAGGCTTTGAAAGGGGTTAATGTACCTTGTACCATGAACTGGCGTCCCCCATTGTGCCTCGGTGGAGTGATTATCATCAGCCATATTGTCAGTTCGTCTCGCTTCTCGACTCTCGAGGACGAGCCCACTTCGAGTACGCATTCAGAAAGGCAAACAATCAGAACTCAACACAGATAACAACGATCATCAATGATAAAGTTGCATTTGAAATTCGGGTCCTCAAGAATCACAAAAAATGACGATAACCAGAGGCAGATCCCCTATATATAACCACCTTCAACAAACCACCTGCCCCACACCTCCAAAGAACCCATGTGAGAACGGCCTCAGAACCATCACAATCTCTCACACGACCACAGAAGCCCTTCTTGTACAGCATCCTCCTCCAGTTTGAATGCCCTCACCGAGGCGCTAGACTTTGCGTCGCTGCCTTCTCGCAAGCCGCCCGGCATGGTTCGACAGGGCACCTCTCATTCCGGATCACTCCCCGGCACTTCAACCGTTCTAGAGAAGAAAGTAATCATGGAAAGGGGTGTCAGAAGCAGTGGAAGGATGAATTAAAAATGTTTGCCACTCACTCAGCAGAATCGTTGATAAGAAGCTGATCGGCTGCGGTAAGGCTGGAATCCTGCTCGGAATCCCCTCTCTCGGCTTGCTACCTTTGATCTCTGGACTTAATTCCGGTAGGGCAATGCTGGAGAATGTGATAGCTCGTGAGTTCGGGAAGATCTTTGCGGTGGGTGGGGGTTACGGTTGACACACTAATTCTGGGGAATTCCATACCGTCTGGTGGGCTTGTTTAACATTGCCCTGATGGCCCGGTGAAAGATTTTGATACGATGCAGAGGCGCAGAACCCCTGTAGGGGGGCCGGATTCGTTTCCGGGGCTGTGTGAGCGTCGACATATTTGACACCGCAGCACAAAAAAGGGGTCTTACTGTACTGTAGAGGGGTAGCGAGAAGTTTTATCATCCTAAAAACGTCAAGTCCTGCGAGAGAACCTGATTATAATTCGGCGTTGATAGAAGAGTTCTTTTGAAGTAACGGTTCGAGTTTTTGTTTCGATGCGTGTAATACAGTGATGTGACTGGCAAATAAACGCTGTGCTGCACAGCCTCAAGTCGCACGACTAAGACCGCCTTGTAGCCTTCTACACACCTACGTTCCCTTCATGTCCGGGGCATGCAAGCCCTAAACGGCCATTCTGTGAGGCATGAGTCATGCCTTTGATCAATACACATAACAGAGCTCGGACATTATTAGTGACACTGTCGTTGATGGCTTCGGTACGGTTGTTGGGTCGAGATTTCGGCTACCTGCATCGTGGTCTAATTGCCCAGTAAACCCCACGAATCTCGTACCACCTGTCTGCTTCACAATAATGATCTCCACTCAATTCTTTGAAAAATGTGACATCATCGTGTAGCTTTTAAGGATGCCAGAAGCAAACCTGATGCCCCGCAACTTGGATTTTTCATCGGATCTTGCTTTAGCTTTGCAGGACCAACTTCCTCTTGCCGGCATGTAACAATGCTGGTTCGGAAGATCGACGACTCGGAGAATTACCAACGGCGATTGAGAAGGTGATAAAGCCGTCCAGCTGACCGAGCCGAACGATGGGGGTCGGATAAGTCCAAGAAATATCCTCATTGTAAATCGAATTGCTTCCTGTTGTCCCACCATAATACGAAATCAAAGAGGCCACGAGTCGGGGAATAGCTCGACCATCGATTCAAAGCCATGGTCAGTCTGGCCCCATATGAAGGAAAATGGATCGTCATTGAGAAACATGCCATCCATTGATGCGTCTTGTGGAACAACGTTCGAGTCAGTCATGTTGTTACCTCCCATACTAAGAAGATTGTTATCGTTGGCGTTTGCGGATGTCAGCTGGGAGCTGTTCTGGGCCGAAGAACTTGGAATGTTGTTTGCAGGTTCAGACTGGTCAACTTGTTGGTCTACTCAAGGTCAGAATAACCGTAATTCTACCTTCTCGGGGAATTCTGCTATGACTTACCTCTAGCCCTAGCTGGCTTTGGCTCAAGGTTTTGTGCTCCTCCAAATTCTTCACGCCTGTAAGTATGGGCTATCAGCGAATATGTCTTGAGGCACAGATCGCTCGCACTCACCACCACCACATTGTATCATGCAGCAAACTCATAGAAAGTCGACTTTGAATCCTCAAAGCAGTAGATGAACGTTGATCCCCGGCTGCTTTGAACGCTTTTTGAGAAGTCCAAAGCTGAGAGAAAATCCCGGTCATGCGGCTTGGCATGTCATTGTTATATATTGATATTCTTTTCAGGAGAGAAACCGCAAGAAAAATCGCAGATACGCCTTGCTTCTGCTCACTGATATTCGAGGACATAGGCGTTTTAAGAACTCGTAAGACCGTCGCAGCAGCTAGCGTCATCATTCTGTATACGTCTAGAGGGGAGTTGATCAGTACTTGTCCATCTAAAAGATTATTAATGTAGACAGGATAACCCTGAGCCATGAGCCCACGGATGAGCGGAAGTGGCAGCTTGAGTCTTTCTTTTTTTCAGTGAACAACCTTCTCATGAAATCCACTTCTGCGAAGTATGGTGGATAGGCTAGAAACACTGTTCGAGAGTGATTAAAAAGACCAAAGGTTCTGCTGTTGAGTTCTAAACAGTCTCAAATAATAGCTCCAATCAATCTTTATATGGAAAAATGAGAAGAAAGTGGGAACTCAAGGGCAAGGGTTTACAAGAAACTTGTGACGCACGATGAGGGCAAAAGCTTGCAAAGTTTTTGGTTTCTGAATCAATATAGCTGACTTTTTCGATGATGTTGATGGCAGTGGTGTACAGTTTGAGTAGATTGAGGGAGAACACCTCACTTTGAGGACAACGAAGATAGTATATTCGCAGTTGAAGCTGCGCTATCTGGAAATATAAATCTTCCAAGTCTAAAGAATCCACCATTATAAGCACTAATTCCGAAAAGACGAAGAGCAGTTCTTTACCTGACAGGGAATGGACTTCGGAAGAAAGCTCCTCAAGTTGAGCCTCGAATACATTCAGCATCATTGAGGGAGCAACTTGAGCCTGTTGCTGTAAATCATCGAAATTGAACTCCGAGAAAACCGAATTGAAGCGGGATATTATGCCGGCAATCTTCACTTCAAGGGATAAACTACGTGGAGCAAGACACATGAGACCGCTTACATCTAATTTTTGCTGAAATAGATTGAGTGGGAGTGTGATAGAATATCCTAACGCACACGCAGCCCTACCAAAATCAGTATACAGGGTTGAAGCCAGTGTAGTTTTTTATTACTTACTTCTGATGTACTACCACGCAAAAAGACCACAACTGAACTCTGCGCGCAAGACTGTCATTACTCAAATCGATTCTGGTTCGAGAGTACTCTTGACCCTGGAGAGGAACATGTAATCCAATTTGGAGAGCTAAATTCACGGCCATGCCACTAAGAGTGAAAGTACCATCTCGACTGGTGGTGTTTGTAGGAAATGGCCATGTAGATAGAATAAGTAATCCTTGAATATTGTGAATAACGGCACCGGAAATTTGCATGGCACTCCAGCCTAACTTCAGAAGAGGCTCGGAGAGGGAAAAAAGTAATGCAGGGTTCCTGGGGTATCTTCTCGCGCCCGCGCTGATTATTGCCCAAAATAACAACGGCGATCGAGCGTGAAATGCGTTTGGCGATTCTGAACGCTGGCAATCTAAGAAGGGTAAATGTTTTGCGTAATGTGTGAAGTATCTGTTTTATTGCACGTGTCATTAGAGCCTCTGGCAGAATAGTGGAAGGATTCGGCTCACAGCTCAAAGATGTCATCTATCTCATCTGCTTGTAGGACAATATCATCTAGAGTTCTGGGTAGAGTCGTATTCAAATTAACGGGCAATTGAACTGGCACATCGATGGCCGTGGAGACTTCGGGTAGAGAAATACTTGGCCCGGGCTGTTGTAAAGTAGGCTCATTTGTCCCTTGCCGACTCAATGGGCTCAAGGGCGATTGAGAGGCAATTATGCTTGGGGAAGTAGAAATTCTGGGATCGCTAGCAGAGAATACTGATCCAAGCTGTTGCCTCAGCAGTTGGTTTTCTTGTTGGAGTATTTCGGATTTTCTATGGGCATTTATTTAATACAGATTGACTGGCAAGACATATGCACACTTACTGGCGCTTATTTATACGTTTGAATCCATTCTGAACGGCGCACACCAGTCCTAGTCTTTGACAACGCGCGCATCCTTTTGGATCCAACTTTGCGTTGCATCTTAACTAATTGACTTATTAGTCCAACAGGTGCAGTATAACGAGACCCGCGAGCACGAAACCAGAGATTGGGGAAGGGTTCGGGTGAGCGCAAACTTGCCTTTTGTTGTTTGCATTCATTACAAGCTTTACTTGCATGAGGTCGTGGGGTATTCGTACTGTGGGCTCTCTAGATCAGGCGTCAGCGTGCACCAAGTACTTTTGGAGTGGACGTAATACATTGTGAGACGGCCCAGGATGAGTTTCCATGTTAGAGACAGAATAAATGTATATACAGTATGAAATCGTCTTTCAAATTGCCTTTCATGGAAATGAAAATTTCGTTGCGGTTGGCTTTCTGGTCAGGTCAGATGGACAGTGGAATCGTGCGGGATGATGCAGCCGATAAAATATTTCTCTCATCCAAATGAGGTCGTGGAGGAGAAGGCAACAGGATTTGCCGTACGTATTCATGGATGGGAGCTCTTTGCGAACATCGTATCCAAGCCGAGATATCAGAAAAGAGATGACGCATGCAATGAAGGCAGTTGATAGGAAATAATGGTGGAAAATACGTGAAGAAAAGCGCCGAGAAGGCCGAGCGAGAAATTGTACAAGAATAGGTCATGTGATCATTTCACCGATGCAATCCATTTCCAGGTATCCCTCCCGATCCCAAGATTCTCTAGGTGGTCGGCCCTCTTTTTGTTTTATCCTTTCGGCTGGATTATCTGGCGACAGGCAAAGAATACTTTGAACAAAAGTAACTTTTTGGCTCCAAGGTTAGCTCAAGTAAGCTTAGAATTGAAGCCACTAGCTATATTGCATTTTCGCGGCCAACTCTACTAACTCATACCAGACAATCAAGGGAATGAACCCAAACATTCAAATACTCTTCTTGAATCTTTCTAGATGGTAGAAATTGGGTCACCTAGCTTCTGTCGTTTTTTGTCTAACGCCGAGTCTCAAAATAAAGCATAGAATTTCCTGCGGAAAAAGATACTTTGTCCACAATACTATTCCTTCAGGGCGCCATCTATGATTTCTATGCTTTTCAAAAACACCATCTATGTTACAGGCTTCAACATAATGTTATCCAAGATTCGTACGGATGGTCCTCCAGATGAACCGAGATCCTCTCCGGGCTGTGGGGACTCAACTGGAAGCATCTTGATGGCCCCGCTGAGAATTGCGCCTCTCGACTCATCGATCTCTTCCAACTCTTCCATCGTCTCGGGATCCGCGAGTGAGATGTAGTTCACATCGAATTTTACACGTTCTCCGGCTGGTAACTGAAACTGTTCTTGAAGAACCAACCTTATGAATTCATTGGCAGGCCCCAAGAGCTCATCTCTTGAGCGTCGTCCCTTTATATAAGCTTTCTCGGCTATCCGCAAAGCCTTCGACAATGTTGATGCGATATTTCGTCTTCTCGTGCCCAAATACACATTTCTTGAACTCAATGGCAAGTCGTCATGGTCTCTCTGCGTTTCCAAAATGACCACTTCCGTGTTGTGACAAAAGTCCTTGACCATTTTCTTAATCACCACCGTTTGTTGTACATCTTTCTGGCCAAAGTAAACCTTTTCCGGCATGACAATGTTGAACAATTTCGTGCAAACTGTAGCAACCCCTCGGAAGAACGTAGGCCTACTTGTCCCCTCCAACAGTTCTCCTACTGGTGTTATTGTGACAAAGCTTCCCTTCCCGTCAACCTCCTGACTTGGTCTGCCACTCGGATACATGACATCCGTTGTTGGTGCAAAGACAGCCGCGACTGTGCCCAGATTAGCCCCATCTTCAGCAAGTTCCTTGTCCAGATTTTTTAGCAGCTCGCAATCGCTCGCCCATGTCTTTGGGTAGGTGTCCAGATCTTCATGTACCCCGAATTGAGTAGGATTGACGTAGATACTGACGACCACTGCATGGTTTTCAGCAGCAGCCAATCGAACCAAGGAGAGGTGACCCTGGTGTAAAGCTCCCATGGTTGGCACAAGTCCAACCGACCGGTGGTCAAGTAATTGTTTGCGACGCCATATTCGAAGTTCAGGAATCTCCCGAAAGATTTTGATCGAAGTATTAGGGATGACTGGCATCCTTCTTCGATCGTGTATTGCGCGCAGAGCGGGGGGGCTGACGATGGTTCGAAATTGAGGTGTGTATGAGAGGGGACGACCTAGTCGAGCACTCAGAGGCAGCGCAAGGATTCTGCTGAAGGACATGGTTGTCGACATGGTTGCTGTTGCTCAATTGATCTCGAAATTATGTGGCGATTGAAGTGTCAGGATACTGGATTGAGAGTATGAGAAGGATGTCTCCCTCTCAGGGTCCATCGTGGGTCATACTGTACTTGTACTGTGATAGTAACTGCTGCGTATATTGAAGTCCATCTTCAAATCAGTTCTGGCCGGCAGCCCTGGAGCTGCTCTCCCCGCTGAACCATCCCGGAGAGCGTCGGGCCGAAATCAGGGCAAATGGCGGGGAGCTTGAAGTCCGTGCCCATAATTTCTATTGAGAACCTGGAAGCCGAAACTTTTCTACTCTGCGGATCCGCGTGCAGCAGTCAACTATACATGACCGATTTCTCACAATCCCAACAGAAAAAGCGCAGCCATGGCCGACGATGGCATGTTGATGAACTTTGTCATTCCCGACGCTCCAATCATTATCAAAAAGCCAATACAAGGAGGACGTTGGAAGGATCGATTAGCAGCAAAACGGGAAGCTCGAGGCCCACGACGTACGGAGCAACCCCACGAGCGAGATATATTCAATGAGCGACGGCACGAGCCTAGAACGGAGGAGTACATTGGCCCCGGGGCTTCTGCGCGACCCGCGAAAAGACAAAGAGTTGAACCAGTTGCTCGGAAAGACGACCCAAATATTGCGACATTTGTTTCTGGGAAACTTCCGCCTGGAAGTATAAAAGTTGGCGGATCGCGCAACACAACTTTTCAAGAAGAAACCAGACCCGCGTTTGTGGCTGGTAAGCTCCCCCCTGGGAGCATAAACATTGGTGGTTCTCGAAGTAGAGCAATCCAGGAAGAAACCAGGCCTGCGGTGGTATCTGGAAAACTACCTCCGGGGAGCATAAAGATTGGGGGAAACCAAAGTACCACATTTCATGACGATGATCGACCGTCATATGCCTCAGGTGGAAATAGTAGTCGAACAAGAAATAAAGATGCGCCTGTTGGAAAACCAGATCAGATTATTTCCTCTCTGTTTACGTTCAACCCAGCGTCGAAGAAGACATTTGACGATCCTGTAGAGGAATCAGAACCCGCGAAACCTTCGAATGCACCGCTCACTGAGGAAATGGAGACCTTTACTAATTTGGGCCTTTCAAGGCGACTAGCTGCGCACTTGTCAACCAAGATGGACATGAACGCCCCAACTGCAATTCAAAAAGCAGCGATCACTCAAATGCTGAAAGACGATAGCGATGCCTTTATACAGGCAGAAACTGGATCTGGCAAAACATTGGCATACTTGCTTCCCATTGTGGAACGACTGATATCTATGAGCACGGCAGATGTACAAGTTCATAGAGATTCAGGTCTTTTCGCAATTGTTCTAGCGCCTACACGAGAGTTGTGCAAGCAAATTGCATCAGTGCTAGAGAAATTATTGAGATGTGCCCCGTGGATTGTCGGCACAACAGTAATTGGTGGCGAAAGTAAACAGTCCGAAAAGGCAAGATTACGCAAAGGTGTGAACATACTTGTGGCGACTCCAGGAAGACTGGCAGATCATCTCGATAATACAGAGGTTCTGAGAGTGAACCAAGTCCGATGGCTGGTTTTAGATGAAGGAGATCGACTCATGGAACTTGGGTTCGAGGAGGAAATCAAGGGCATTGTGGAAAAGATTGGCCGAAGACCGCTTGACGTTCAACGGGCCAGTGGATTGGATCTCACGGCTTTGCCGACCAAAAGAATCACGGTTCTCTGCTCAGCAACGATGAAAATGAATGTTCAGCGACTGGGCGAGATCAGTCTGAAGGATGCTGTTCATATTCAAGGTGATCCGTCTGAAGAGGATACTTCAAAGAAGCCCAAAACCGACGAGGAGGCTGATGATAAAGCATTTTCGGCACCAGCACAACTCAAACAAGCTTACGCTATTGTCCCCGCCAAACTGCGACTAGTTACGCTTACTGCTATTTTGAAGCGAGCTTTTGCTCGAAGAGGTTCTGTGATGAAGGCAATCGTATTTATTTCTTGTGCGGATTCAGTGGATTTTCATTTCTCTATGTTTAGTAGGCCATTGGAAGCATCTGAAGACGATGATTCCCCTGGTGAGCTTCCCGAGATCACAAAAACCGAGTTGACAAAAGACACAATTGCCCACGGCACGACCTTCTCGAGCAAAACCAACGGTGTCATTCTTCACAAGTTGCACGGATCCTTGGCGCAAAACATACGTACTGCAGCTCTCAAAGCTTTTACCCAGTCCAATGAACCCTGTGTGTTGATTTGTACCGATGTCGCTTCTCGTGGTCTCGATTTGCCCAATGTTGACTATGTCATCGAGTACGATCCACCGTTTAGTGCTGATGACCATCTACATCGAGTTGGCCGAACCGCAAGAGCTGGTCGTGAAGGTCGAGCATTAATCTTCTTAATGCCTGGAGAAGAAGAGGAATATGTTTCAATACTGAGCTCCGGCTACAGAGACGGCAAAAGATCTCTTACACACCACACGTCCGAAGATTTGCTACGGAAAGGCTTTGGTGGTATTGGGAGAGATTGGGAGGAACGTGCAACGGAGTGGCAGCTTGAGGTTGAGAGATGGACTTTGGACTCCCCAAAATATCTTGAGATGGCACGGCGTGGATATCAAAGTCACATTCGGGCTTATGCTACCCATGTGGCCAACGAGCGTCACATTTTTAATATGCAATCTTTGCATCTTGGCCACCTGGCAAAGGCATTTGCGCTAAGAGATAAGCCTGGAAGTATCAAGGTCCCTGGACTGCGACCTGCGAAGATGACCAAGGCAGATAGAAGTGTAGCGGCTAGGAAAGCGAAGAGGGGTGAAGTTGAGGACAAGGTCGTGGGAGAGATGGAGAGGAAACAGAAGAAACTGGAACTTGATATGCCGACAGTAGATGGCAATAACGCTGCGAGATTGATGAAGAGAAAGGCAAAGGAACACGCATCAGCGGCCTCGGAATTCAATATTGGATAGAAGATCTGATGAAGAAATCAATACCATGCTACTGTAGCATGTTTTTAGTATCCTGGCGAATGATCGTAAACTTTTGGTGATTATCTATGGACTCCTCCTGCTAGGCCTTTTTTTTTTTTGAATACGTGAACAGTGAAACTTCGTCCTTACTACTGTATCATGCCCTCGCGTCCATGTTCCACTTGACAAATAGTGCCCTGATTGTTGATTGGCCAATTACCTATGGAATGATATAATCACGTGTTAAAGCGTTCCTGGCGCGTCGCGTTCCCATTTCAATTACGCCAGATGCTTCAACAACCTGATCAGCACCCCAATTCCTGCTCAACAATGGCCACGAAATGTTACAACAACACCCATACTCGTCCCCGGCACGACCTGCTACCAACGATGCCTTCTCGGTTGTAATGCGCGCCCAGGCGTATGGCAGAACCTCGCCGGCTGTCGATTTCTCAGAGGTCCTGGCCGAATTTCAACAGAGTCTGGGTGAGGATGATGGCACATCTGGAGAAGCAGCGTGGGGAGCAAAGATCTCGCAGACGATTACGAAGATGGTCCATGAGAAGGTCGTCCCACAAGCTACAGACAAATACGCACATATCGACACGAGAATAAACGCCCTGCATCTTCTCATTGATACAGCTATGGGAGTTGCGTATGCGCCGTCGGGGATCGCATCGGACTCTGTGAGATCTGGCACTGCGCCTCGGATGATTGTACTGGCGATTTATGAGGTTCTATCAAAAATGACGGAAATGGATATTAGAAGAATGGGGAAAGATGAAGTCGCTTTTTTGGATAAAGTCACAGAGCTGAGACTCAGACCACGGGAATCTTGCAATAATACAGCCACATGGAAAGATCTCGATGACATACTGCGTTTACTCGGATATCCTGGAACGGTAAACTTTCGAGTGGTCTTCGGAAATTTCAAGTACTGTATTGAGAATGGCTTTTCTTCCGTCGTGCGGGCACATTATATGCGCACAGGAAAGAACGCGAACTCCGATTATGTTGTGAGAATCATTCGAAATTCAATTGTTGCCTATGTATCGCCTTCTTCGTGTTTCGAGACCAAGATCAATGCCCTGAATGCACTGGCCGATATAGGAATTTGTGAAATGGACGGAGGACCATGGGGAGATGAGGAGGGCACAGCAGAGAGATATCTTTGCAATACTATTTTCGATGTGGCTAAGATGCTGTCTGAGAAAGAAGTGGCTATTGTAACTAGTGACATGCGATACCTGAAGCCTGAGATGTCACCAGAGCACTCGGATAGCCTCGATTATAGTCCTCGCTCGCCGCATCACGATACACATCGGATATTAGTTCGTGGTCTAAGTCTGAACAACCTTAAAGGAACCTCTTTGGGAATATTTGCCAAGATTCTGTATCTTAGATGGATACAAAGAGCTTGCTCTGACCGATGGCAGAGATGTTTGACCACATTGGACAATGTGATAGATCTCTTCATAGATAGCTCTGGATCTGTCCCCCTCCGTTGCGATAGGCTACGAGAATCTGTGCGTAGGGCGTTCGCCGAGGTAGAATCGGTAGCCTCGTCCCCTGGAAGAAGGGAAACCGCTGCGTCAGAGGCCAAAACTGTGGTTGAAAGTACAATCGAACGACTTGCAAAGCGAGGATCCCCCGAGCTTGTTATGAGACCAAACTAAATGTTCTGAAAACACTACCGGAGATTGGAATGGCGATCATGCTTTGGAAAGCGCCAGGAACTCCAGCTTGGAAGACTATGAGTTTCCATGACCAGATGTCAGAGATTCTCTTTTGCAGTGCCATGGTTAGTATCTGTGGCTCGTTCAGTAGGCAATAGTGGACAAAAGTCTCTGCGGATGAGCAACTACGGCGTGATGTTAATATGTTGAACCATGCGCGTATGCAAGTTCCAGGAGCTCTCCCGGGCTTCGAAGATGTCGTTCGTCTGTTCCTGGGTACTTCAGTTACTATGGGTAAGAAGGCAAACGGCAAGACGGAGTTGGTCGAGGTCGTGGACCTGTCCGAAGATTGAAGGGGCAGCAACTTGTGACGAGAAGAGGTTGAATACCAATAACATCATCTTCCCGCACGGCACACACGGCAAGCAATACCAACTTTAGCGCCAAGGAAGTCTTTGGCGACCGCCAGCGGGCATTATCGTTGCTAAAAAGTAGCGTACTGGAGAGGGTGCTTAGTGGTCTACTTCTGGTAAGTCCTCTTTCCATCTGACCTTTCATGGAGCTGACTTTTCAGATATCTTTAATCTCAAAACACCGCGAAAACATCTCTGCAAAGCCTAAACAGAAGTGGATGGTTACGTTGGAGCTTGAGTATTTCGATGGTGGCTAGGTGATATTGTGGATTCCATATTGGCTTGAGCATTGTGGTCTTGGCATTGTCGCTTAGTGAAGGGGGTGAGTGATCCGCGATTTGGGAGAACCTGCATAGCTGCATCTCAATTCGATATTGGGGTATGATATCAAAGCTAGATTACACTAGAGTTGAGCCGCAATAAAAACAGAAGTCAACTAAACTGCCAATTGAGGAGATTCACCTTTGACACCACTCAAAACGAACTTGACTCATCCTCGGTACATCCATCGCTATCTTCACTTCCAACCCCCCCAATATCCCGCCCATTAAATTGAGCTAGACTGATATTCACCATTCAACAATAGCAAGGCTGACTGCCACGTCGCCCCACAACCTTGATATCTCGACGACCTCAACCATCTTCTCTCAACTCCCCGTCGCCGTCATCAAGACAACAACACCACCACCTACATCGCAGCCGCGCAACGCCAATATGGCTGAACCAACTCAAGCAAATATTCCTGCTCCGCGCGCTGCGCTGACACCTCCGCCGGAACCGAGGAGTGATGTCCAGAATACCATCGCGAATCAGGCGACAGTGAACGGTAACGTGGCGCAAGGAGAGAATCAAGCTGTGATTGTTGACCGTCCTCAAGGTCAAGGTCAAGGTCAAGGTCAAACTACAGCAAAAGGTCAAACTCAAGCTCAACGACCTCAAGCACAGGGCCAATCTCAATCTCAAGCACAAGCGCAATCTCGAGCACAAGGTCAATCTCAAGCTCAAAAACCTCAAGCACAGGGCCAATCTCAATCTCAATCTCATTCTCAAGCACAACCTCAACACCAACCCCCCAACCCCCAAGCCCCCCACCACTCCCTAACCATCCCTCTAATCCCCAACCCCCGCACAATCTGGGACCAACAACACAACAGACTCTACAGCGGGCCCATCACACGGGTCGAAATCTCCGACCTCTCACGTCTCGGCCGTTCCTTCTGCACCAAAGCCGACCAGCGGGCACGCAGACACATCGACAGCTACTACACACGCAAGCACCAGCAGAAGCGGAAGCGGGAGGAGACGGAGATCGAGCCGCGCGTGTACTCTCGTGCCATGAAGAGTCCGCTGAAGGAGGAGAAGTTGGATATTATGAATCCGTTTTTGAGTGGCGGGTTGGGGAATAGGTTGGAAAGGTATGGGGATGCGCCCAGGGGGAGGAAGAGGAGGTGTGTGGGGAGTGTTTATTGGGATGTTGGGAGGATGGTTGTTGGTGGGGGAGGGGGGAAGGAAGGAGGGGTTG